ATGCATAATTAAAGAAAATTCATGCTTTGCATACCGTATGCGTGCATCATTGTAATTTAGGAACAAACAATTTTATGCAGTGATTACTACAATATGTAAGTGCACACGAATTGATAATATTAATAATACACTGTGATGTATGCATTTACAGTATATGTTATTATGACGGTGATTGCATAACATGAATATATACTCAGAAGTAGACCCGTGAAGGTCTGTGGTAGAATAGGTCTTCAGCAACCCATGCTTGCCGTAAAAGGCGACTATGCTTGTCCTAAGAGGCGACCAACGGGATCGGGTGATCAGGCTCGCTGACTTGGTTGATGTATGTCATCGTATCCCACTTGCGTGGATCATTGCTCATGATATCAATCACTGGGTTGTCTGGTCCAGGCTCAATTATTTACAGATCGCCGTTATATAGAGGGAATATTGCTGAGTGCGGCGATGAACAACAAACAAACAAACTAAGGAAGTGACAGTGAAGGGCATTGTGATTGTGCAACAGAATTGCTAAAGTTTAAGATCTCTATTGCGATAATTTTGCAAATACAATACAGATACGACTGTTATATTCCCGTGGAAACGAAACCAAAACGCATGCCTGTCTTGTCGTGATTTGTTGTGTCCGAACTATAGATACAGTATTTAGTAATCTGTATTGCCATGTATATTTCACCATAATCGTTTGTCCATAATGTACATACGGGCGCATGAGTGGCACAGTCGTCTAAGGCGCCGAGATTCGCTGTGCAGAGTTGCGTTCCTTGGGCACGCCAGAAACCTATGATTGTGGGTTCGAATCCCGGTTCGCCCCGATTATGTTTCTAGGTTTGTCAGCACCATACCCGTGCTCGTGGGTTTCACCGAAGTGGTAAACGTCTGAGACCTGCATCACTTCTGGCTTTCCTCCCACATTAAGCTGACATGCTGCGATATTACTGGAATACTGTTAAAAGCGGCGTTAAACCCTCTCACTCACTCACTCACTCACTCACTCACTCACTCACTTCCAATACATACATTACTACATGTACCTAATCCACGTATTATGCATTCTAATGGTTGTTTGAATCTCGTCATCCGCGGATGCTGAAGTTGGAAGCAGGAAGAACTCGTTCTTATCTCAAAACAATCTTCATAAATGTCAATATTTATTAATAGAACACTTTCCTTTTGTTTTTCAACAGATTGTTGCTTCAAATCACCGCCCACCCTTCTCCAGAATATCGCAAAAGATTATCCAATCTGTCATTATTTCAAATGCAATTAAAAAAATTGTTTTTTAAACGAAAATATTTCTTGAACATTTTTGTTTAAGTCTCATATAATCTCTGCACTCGTACACAGCACACGTCACTCAAAATTACAGATCGTTTTCGACTTTTAACTACATCAGTAAAGACGCTAACGTGTCGCTTCAACAACAACAGTAAAGACGATATCGTGCTGGATCTTCTCGACTCTCGATCACCTGATTGTCTGGTTTGTTCACAGGCCACCGTCGCATCGTCGTACTACTGTACGACGTCAGGCAACAAACACGTTTCTTTTACAAATTGTGCGAGTGGCGGTGCTACCGATAGAGCTAGAAATGTTTACCCTTTTTCGCGAACACCTGGTGTCACTACTGTATTTCAGTGATCCATTTATGTATTTGTCACCGCTATTTTTTCAAATGAAACCCGTTTTGGTTATGCTCTGGCGTTGACGTCATATTAGTGAGTGAGTATGGTTTTGCGCCGCTTTTAGCAATATTCCAGCAATATCACGGCGGGGGACACCAGAAATGGGCTTCACACATTGTACCCATGTCGGGAATCGAACCCGGGTCTTCGGCGTGACGAGCGAACGCTTTAACCACTAGGCTACCCGACCGCCCCTGACGTCATATTAAAACCCAATTCAATATGGTATGTTTCATTGTCATAATACCCTACATCAATGTTTGGAGTAGCTGAAAGGATCTGTGCAGTTAAATGTGTTAAGTTTTTCACATTAATCATAGTACTGACCACTTAAACAGAAGCAAATGCACACCGCATGGCATTTAAGTGCCAACTTAATGGGTCAATATTCATTTATATGCTATAGGTGTGCAGTAAATGTAATCCTAACGGGTACCCAAGAAGTGAGGCAGAATTCGAATTTGTCTTTGAAGACACCTGTGTGAGACCGGCGCCCTATACCCACCCACTACTGGCTGCTGGTAGCATTGCAAACTTCACCTGATTTGCAACTTCGTGCATAGGACCACCTATCATCAGATTCTGATGTTCCAACATGTAATGTAATGAAACATAACAGAAGAAATGACGAAACATAAAACTGAGTAATGGCCAAACGCAAAAGGGGTGAAATGGCGAAAAGCCCTAGTGATGAAATAGCGAAACGTAAAAGGGATGAAATGGCTAAAAGCTAAAGTGATGAAGTGGCGAAACGTTAAAGTGATGAAAAGTGTGTGGCTGTCTGTCTGTGGCTGTATGTACTTGTCCGGAATAATAACTATTTTATAATTCTAGCCCCATGAAATACCATGCCGGGGTTTAACATGAATTCCCCACTCAGACATAGTAAACTGCCGACCGGTCCTTGTTTTAGACCCTTACAGGGCAACAACAAGTCTTTCGGCATGACGCGGCCAGGGATCGAACCCCGGACCTTCCGCTCTCTGGACGGACGCTCTACCACAAGACCACGAAGGCGGTCCCTCGAAATATTAACTGAAAGAGAATTATTTTAAAGAAAATAACACACTATTACCGAATAAGCGTGTAGAATTGACGCCTCATCCATAGTCTATCGTAATAAAAATATATATGTTTCCAGCCTCCTTTCCTCCAATTCAGGATGCACATTACATATGTCCCTTATCGAAGCCGTGCGAACCGTTTAATGTGCAAATGTACCTTTTCTCCCACCAGCACAACGTTGTGCATCGGACATCACACAACGTTTTGTAGAAATGTGGACAACAAATGCGAGGTCAGAAGACAATTTAAAGAATAAATATAATATTATAAATCGGAGTGTATTATCTTACAACTAAAGATAACAACAATGTTTGAATTACATCATACGTCGGAACAATGATTATGTGGTCACCGTATTGATAGGTGTATGTTTGTCGATGTTTGCAATTGCTTGGCTTTAAAAACAACCAAGAAGTATGCCTTCACATTCAATTGTTTATTTGGTTCAACATATTTTATTTTTCAGTTTAAGAAGGACAGTGTAGTCAACATACACAGTAATACTGCTGTGTGTATGAAAATAAATAAAGTAAAGTAATTTGCATTAAACTTCAAATTATATATTTAACGAATCAACAAAGAAGTAGAAACATAAACACACTACACTTTAAACAATATAATATTTATGACCACTATTGTCATGTACAATGAAACCTCGTTAATCTGGACGATAGAGTTCCTACTGAAATTGGTCTGAATAATAAATTTCCGGATTAACAAGGGTACAAAATAATATCCTTCCATTACATATACGTTCTCGGTAGTAATATGCCCGAAGGTGGGGTTTCCGGATAAACGGGGTCTGGACTAACGAAGTTTCACTATATTTGGAATGTAGAAAGGTGTAACTGACGTTCCTCTTCTCCAAAGTCACACATCTGGAAATAATGCTGGTCTAGAGGTTACCGTATTACCTCGCATAATTCGCCACTCCTGATGGTTGAAATGAGCATTTCGAGAAGGTTCGTTGAGAAAGTACGGCACTCCGTGTTCCAAACTAAAACATATCACTGTTTCTAACTTGAAAGTTGACTCACATCTTGAGATAACAAGAGTAAGCTACATAGGGTTTGTCAAAGCAATAATAATAATGATAATATTAATAATAACGGAGGGCGTGGTTTGATTAACGTGGAGGCTCTTCATGATAGAATTGTATTGTGCACTTTTGCACACATGTATTTGTCTGATGATCCCCTTGTGAAGCATGTCAAGACTCATGATGAAAACAAGGCATTCCACAGTTTTCTTAAACGAGCCAAGGATGAGGGACATAATCTCAATGCCAGTGTTGATTTTTTTATGGCGTTGTACTGCTGGACGGTACAAAAATGAGTGTCAACCAAGCGAGGTGCCATATCAAATCGGCCCAGACACAATCTTTCAAGGAGAGGCTATCCGAACGACCACTGCATCGAGTTCATGTGCAGTATGTTGAGAAGTTCAGCAACCCTGAACCCTGAGTCCTTCGCGTGGATGAAGTCGGCTGGCCTGAAAAGCGAAACAGAAGGCTTTCTGTTTGCTGCTCAGGACCAGTGCTTTCCCACTTTGCATTAAACTACATATGGAATGTAGATTGTACAATGAATTTAATGAGACTGTCCAACACACTGTCAGTGGATGCCCAGCTTTGGCACAAACACAGTATCTTGAGCGACATGATGGAATGGCTCGATCCTTTTATTACCGTCTTCGCCATGCTTGTGGTTTTGACACAGAGGTCCATCCATGTTGCGACCCGGAATATGTAGAGGGCGTCATGAAAAATGATAAATACCAAATTCTTTGGAATAGGCGCTTATACAGTCTCAGACCCATCCAGGCCACCAAATCAGAACTTGTCCTTTTTGATAAATACAATGAAATCATTTATATTATTGAATTTTCTGTCCCTTTTGAAACTAATGTGACAAGATTCAGGAAAAACATGGCAAATGTGCAGACCTCACGTTCGAAATGTCACGCTGGCATCCCAAGTACAAAATTGTCCGACTCCCCATTGTTCTCGGTGCCTTAGGTTTGGTACCTCCCAATCTGTTGACTGACATTGGGAGAGTACCTGAATTTTGCTACCAGGAATACAGCCCTTCTGACAATCTGGGTAATGCAGAAGGCTGCAGTGTTGGGGAGTCTTCACATTCTCCGAATAGTTCTGGGTGGGTTTGACTAGGCAGCGCTTCCTGGGAGAAGTCCCATTCGCTGTCTGGGCTGCGTGTAGAGGGGGGCAAGGGCCCTGAGCTGATGATGAGCCTAACCAGTCTGACTGTGCCAGAATCACCCAAACCCTCTTTGCTGCATTTTTAATTTTAATCTGTAAATAATAATAATAATAATAATAATATAAAAAAATAAGTATTTAAGTAATATTATCTTGGAAACTGTCAAATTGCTGCAAGTATAAACTACACAAGGGAAAAATAGCCAGTATTGCCCTCTATAAATCGGTGAACGGTGCTTCAAGCTTGCAGTAACATTTCCTCTTGTCACACATGCCAATTCCGAAGCATACCCAACCGTTTTGTAACTATTTTGATTTTGTACATTGTTGAGAAACCTTTCGTATCTGGTGTGTGTGGGAATTACCCCCAAGAAATGATACACTTTGGACCTATTCCTATATACATCGTAACATAGTTAACTCGAATTCCCGAACCTGGACAATTCGTGTAACCTGACTTTAACACCCCGACAGACTTTGTCATTACGGTGCAGTATCGGCACTCCCTTTGTTTCGAACTACGGAGGACTCGACTCAAATTCAATTATCCCAAACATTTCGAGTTAGTGTGGTTGTTGTAAGCGAGAAAGATGCAGCAATATGAACCATGGGATGATCCGAAATACTGATTTTAAGCGACTTTATGTTTGTATATTTTTTATGTGGAAATGAAAACAACTGTGAAATTTCTCTGCACATGGTTTAAATTAATGCAACGCCCATTCAGTAATTTTAACTTGAATAAAATGAATAAATTATGTTTAAAAAATTACCGGGTTAAAAAAACAACAGCGAAATCTCGTTAAGTCGAACTCTTGCAAGTCCATAGTTCGATTCGTACAATTATAATCTAGTTCTGGCGAACTCGTCATTGACCCTGTTCTGATATCGAATTCCCACTATCTCGAACTACGACGGTCCAAATGACTTCGAGTTAACGATATTTTACTGTACTGATATAAGGATGATATGATAAAAGCTGAGATTTAACACAGCTTGCCCTAAGACGATATATGTTTTAGTGCGAGCATATATGTACATAAACCTGTACTATACGAACTGTCAAATTTCATATTGTTCAACCACACAAGAAACATTAACACAATGAAAGTCTCTGAATAACACTGGATGTGGACAAACGACAAGTAGTACTGCTTATTGTTATCAATCAGGCATCTCAGGTAGCTCCGTGGCCTGCAGCCTCACCACAGCGTCATGACTCTCATCATCCGCGCTCTCGTCTGAACCGTCGCCTTTGCCTTTCTCGTCTTCCCTGTCTCCGTTCTGATGGATTCTGGCAGTATGCTCCTGCGCACGCGCACGAAGTGCCGCGATACTCTCAGACCGAAGCTCTTCTTTGTCTTTCACTTCCGGGATACAGTCGCGACTTTCTTCGTCATCGCTCTTCAGTCTTGTCTGTGGATCACTTGACTTCCGATACATACCTAAACAGTAGAATAAAAATAAGGTTATCACTGTATATAAAGCTATTTTTGTAATCTGACGTAATGTCGATGTCTAAATTACCTTCAAATTTTCTGATTTAATTCCAACAAGATTTCCATTTTCAGTGTGTCAAACTAATGAAAATAATTGGACGTTACAGTTTATCACCCGATACGAAACATTATGAAGTACAAAATAATCTAATATATTTCAAATACACGAGAGTGTGAGTGGGTTGGATTTAACGTTCGTGAGTTTGGGTTAATGGCATGTCAGCGGAATGTGTGTCGGTGTGCCTGTGTGTCTTTGTGGGGTAGGGGTGGGGGGTGCAAACGTTTCCATTTTTGTTGAACCCCACGAAAACGGTGTGATGTTAATAAACCACACGAATCATAATCAGGGAGAATCTGGAATCCACGATCAGCGGATCCTAACATGAGAAAGGGAGGTAACTCTGTCAAACATGTCCACATGTGGGGTCACACACACACACACACACACACACACACACACACACACACACACAAACACACACACAAACACACACACCACATATGTATACATGCTAGACATTAATAATCGATCACTTGCTTCATAAAGGATTCCTATATCACTGTAACGATCATTGATAGTGGGCTCATCATGCTGTGCACGCATTAAACTTGACAATCCCCCTGCCCCCCGTGTACCATAAAACCATTGCACTTGACTTGATGATTAATTACGTCCCCTAACAGAACTGAAAATAATTAACTCTACCTTTAAGTAGTGTGTGAGAGATGTACGCCAATGGCCGTCTAAAAATTCATACAGTAACGTACTGTAGTCGTGGGACGATATGACTTATATTATGAATTACGTATATTATATCGAAATTCAATACAATAGTCATATATCTATTCAATAGTTATTGATAACAGATAATATTATAATAATTGTTTTCAGTTATTTCCATTATTTATCAACATGAATACATGTCACTTTTTATGGATAACAACTTCTTTATTCTCTGTAACGAAAGCGTTCGCTCATCACGCCGTAGACCTGGGTTCGATTCCCGACATGGGTACAATGTGTGAAGCCCATTTCTGGTGTCCCCCGCCGTGATATGGCTGGAATATTGCTAAAAGCGGCGTAAAATCAAATTCACTCACTCACTCTGTAACGACGTTTCAGAGCTTCTTCTTGTCCCTTTATCGGGGGATTTCACCTTCTAAATGCCTACCAAAGATTTTATTTATCAACAGTTAACAAAATATATATTTCTCTTTTTTCCTACTAGTGCAATATAGAATTATACACATAGTTACCATAGATAAAGTTAAGTGTTACTCACTGAGTAACCATGGCGCTGAGGAATCAAGAACCCCTTCTTTTCCGCTTTTTAAGATGGTTTCCGGAAGCGGAAGTGAGTGTCTGACCATCGCTCCATACAGCCCGTACTCCGCCATTATACTGCTTCGTCCCCACGTCTTCTCCGTCTTCCGCCACTTAGCTCGTCTGTTTTGAAACCATACCTGGTAAAAACGTCAAATTAGTTTGTCAATGTTTGTTCGTAATTAGGGATTTGATTAAAGTCAAAACGAATGGAATTCTATGAAACTGACAAAGTCAAAATAAGGTAATTTGGCCAAGAAGGTTAACTTATGATTTAGGTATATCTGATGATCCGATCTGATGTCGTTCAATAACCGTCAAAAAACCAATTCCTTTCCACTGATTTACCTACCTAAATCATAAATAAAGGAGACCAGATAGACCGCTTCATCTGTTTCACATTTAGATCTATGCATCAAGATTCAGAGTGACAAAACACTCTCCACAAGAGTGTGTGACAAGAGGGATGACTTCAACTTTCCAATAGTCAACTTTTCCTTTATGTCGAGCAATATTCCTGCAGCTTCAGCCCTTGGTGTCTACATTGCACAATTTTTTAGGTACAATCGATCGAGCAAGCTCTTTCTACCATCATTTCAAAGAACGTCAAACAGTTCTTGCTCAGAAGTTATTTCATCAAGGTTACAACATCCAGGTACTCAGTCAAACTTTCAAAAAGATTTATGGTAGACATGTTAGGACATTTCCAAGTTTGACGCATCAGTGACATAAATGATGTCCACTGCAATTCCCTATTTTCACTTGTGCCATATGTTCCCGTGTTTTATTCAGGTGTACTATTGATCTGTACTTGCAAGTGTTTGTGACGGGTGCCGGGGCAGGATACGCTCACCTTTTCGCGAACAAATAGTATCATGACTGTTTGATAGTGATTCATGCTTATGATATAGTCCGAATCGTACAATGGACTCCGATTTTGGCAGAGATTTCTTATGATTATCGAACTGTTTTTTAGTCCTATATTTGTTTTCCTATATAGATTTTTTTTTTATATTACAATGACACCTCAGGTTACCATCTTGAAGGGCGTAGAAAGCTGGAATGAGACGGTGTTCTGTTTAGTCAAAAAACAAGCCGTTGATCTTGGGTTCGAATCCCTGGTGGATTATGATCCCTGGTGTGTCAACACTATATCAGCCCTCGTTGGTTACACAACAGTACTAACCTGCTGCACTTCAGACATTCATACACTGATTTTCTTTACTTTAAGTAAAGTTTACATGTGGGATGAAGTAAATGTTTCTAGTAACATTTACCTTTGTCCTTGTTTATTGTGTGTTAATAAATGTTACAAAATGTATGTTTTTCTTATGTATCCATGTTACATGAGTGTGTCGCAATCTGATTGTTTGAACTGTTTGTCACCAAGAAATCATATGAATTTCCAATTTTCTCAAATCAAATTTGAAATAAACATGTCCTAAAGCATTCATTGTACATAATTTCCGGCCATCAAATACTCAATATCACCCTAAATCTGAAAGAACTAATGTTTATCACCTAGTGTAAGTTAATATATATCTATGAATGTGCTCATAATTGTTTGTTTAACTATTATCGTTTCAATTTGTCCTTGTTTCCAGACCCTTTGTCTCAAATTGCAATGATAAATGGCAGAGAAACTAATTCTGTTTATTCAAGAACGAATATAAGTAGCAAAGACACCATTCTTTTTCAACAAAAGGATACAATTTCATATTATAAGATCACACTTTTTATTGTAATCGGACGTCTTTGTAGCTAATAACAGGACCACGTCTATATAGTCACACCATAATGGTTAAAAAATGGGTAAATTAACCCCACATCGTAGAGAAATAAAGCAGGTCTCTTTGTTGATGTAATGGTCATGAAAAAGTCATTTACCTTTGTTGGAAAAATACATGATACGTACTTTGCATGCGAGAACTCGAGTTGATGATCATCAAGAAAGTGCGCCTTGTCTAGTCATATGGACAAACTATCTAAATGAGCTATTTATTCAGGCTAGCGTAGACGAGAAGCTGCCGCAGGCTTGTTTTATTCTGAGAAATGAACTGGCAACTAAATTAGCGAGCGGCTAGGTTGCGTAATTAAAAGCAACATGAAAATACATTTAATGAAGTTGTGGGTGTAGTTTTGTCTTTAGGTATAACTATGCATGTCTTGTTTTATAACTTAGACTAAAACATATGGTGACATGGGGAGAGGACATGTGTGTAATGTATAAACAGGAAAAACAGTCAAGTGCTATAAACTGAGCGGTTGGTATATGCCATGTTTTAGGATGCATGACACAATTTACTGTATTGTCCCTTAACGAGAATGGTCAGAACCAGTGCAAGAGCTGATATACTCAATGATGATCTGATTAACAGACGTTGTGGTTGACAGACTGGATGCGAACTTTGATTTACAGTTCTTAGTAATGAACTTAAAACACAATGAGAAATCTCTGATTGACAGACACGAGAAATGAACATCTATTTGTGGAGAGATCTGATTGACAGACACTACTAATGAACATCTCTGTGTGGGAAGATATCTAATTGACAGACACTAGTAATGAACATCTGTGTGAGGAGAAATCTGATTGACAGACACTAGTAATGAACATCTGTGTGGGGAGAAATCTAATTGACAGACACTACTAATGAACATCTCTGTGTGGGAAGAAATCTAATTGACAGACACTAGTAATGAACATCTGTGTGGGGAGAAATCTAATTGACAGACACTACTAATGAACATCTCTGTGTGGGAAGAAATCTAATTGACAGACACTGGTAGTGAACATCTGTGTGTAGAGAAATCTAATTGACAGATAGTATAAATGAACACCTGTGTGTGGAGAAATCTAATTGACAGACACTACTAATGAACATCTGTGTGAGGAGAAATCTGATTGACAGACACTAGTAATGAACATCTGTGTGTGGAGAAATCTAATTGACAGACACTACTAATGAACATCTCTGTGTGGGAAGAAATCTAATTGACAGACACTGGTAGTGAACATATGTGTGTAGAGAAATCTAATTGACAGATAATATAAATGAACACCTGTGTGTGGAGAAATCTAATTGACAGACACTACTAATGAACATCTGTGTGTCAGGAGAAATCTAATTGACAGACACTACTAATGAACATCTGTGTGTGGGGAGAAATCTAATTGACAGACATTAGTAATGAACATCTGTTAGGGGAGAAATCTAATTGACAGACACTAGAAATGACCATCTCTGTGTGGGGAGAAATCTTATTGACAGACACAAGTAATGACCATCTCTGTGTGGGGAGAAATCTTTTTGACAGACACTACTAATGAACATCTCTGTGTGGGAAGAAATCTAATTGACAGACACTGGTAGTGAACATATGTGTGTAGAGAAATCTAATTGACAGATAATATAAATGAACACCTGTGTGTGGAGAAATCTAATTGACAGACACTAGTAATGACCATCTCTGTGTGGGGAGAAATCTTATTGACAGACACTAGTAATGAATATCTGTGTGTGGGGAGAAATCTTATTGACAGACACTAGTAATGAACATCTGTGTGTGTGGAGAAATCTTATTGACAGACACTGGTAATGAACATCTCTTTGTGGGGAGAAATGTAATTGACAGACACTGGTCATGAACATCTGTATGGGGAGAAATCTAATTGACAGACACTGGTAATGAACATCTCTTTGTGGGGAGAAATCTAATTGACAGACACTGGTCATGAACATCTGATTGGGGAGAAATCTAATTGTTAGACACTGGTAATGAACATCTGAGTGTGGGGAGAAATCTAATCGTCAGACACTGGTAATGAACATCTATGTGTGGGGGGAGAAATCTAATTGACAGACACTGGTAATGAACATCTGTGTGTGGGGAGAAATCTTATTGACAGACACTAGTAATGAACATCTGTATGGGGAGAAATCTAATTGACAGACAATGGTAATGAACATCTGAGTGTGGGGAGAAATCAAATTGACAGACACTGGTAATGAACATCTGAGTGGGGAGAAATCTAATTGACAGACACTAGTAATGAAAATCTGTATGGAGAGAAATCTAATTGACAGACACTGGTAATGAACATCTGTGTGTGGAGAAATCTGATTGACAGACATTAGTTATGAACATCTGAGTGGGGAGAAGTCTAATTGACAGACACTAGTAATGAACATCTCTGTGTGTGGGGAGAAATCAAATTGACAGGCACTGGTAATGAACATCTGTGTGTGGGGAGAAATCTAATTGACAGACACTGGTAATGAACATCTCTGTGTGGGGAGAAATCTAATTGACAGACACTGGTCATGACCATATCTGTGAGGGAAGAAATCTAACTGACAGACACTAGTAATGAACATCTGAGTGGGGAGAAATCTACTTGACAGACACTGGTAATGAACATCTCTGTGTGGGAAGAAATCTAACTGACAGACACTAGTAATGAACATCTGTATTGGGAGAAATCTAATTGACAGACACTGGTAATGAACATCTGAGTGTGGGGAGAAATCTAATTCACAGACACTAGTAATGAACATCTGAGTGGGGAGAAATCTAATTGACAGACACTAATAATGAAAATCTGTATGGGGAGAAATCTAATTGACAGACACTGGTAATGAACATCTCTGTGTGTGGAGAAATCTTATTGACAGACATGAGTAATGAACATCTGAGTGGGGAAAATCTAATTGACAGACACTAGTAATGAACATCTGAGTGGGGAGAAATCTAATTGACAGACACTACTGGTGAACATCTCTGTGTGTGGAGAGATCCGATAAACAGACACTTCTAATGAACATCTGTGTGTGGAGAGATCTGATTAACAGACACTGGTAATGAACATCTGTGTGTGGGGAGAAATCTAATTGACAGACACTAGTAATTAAACATCTCTGTGTGTGGAGAGATCTGATTAACAGACACTGGTAATGAACATCTGTGTGTGGGGAGAAATCTAATTGACAGACACTAGTAATGAACATCTGTGTGTGGAGAGATCTGATAGACAGACACTTGTAATGAACATCTGTGAGGGGAGAAGTCTTATTGACAGACACTAGTAATGAACATCTGTTTGTGTCAAATGTAAACAGTTGTAAGAATGAAGTTGATG